CCTTAGCCCACTGAGCCCGGAGGCGCTGCTGCTGCTGGCGCTACGGCTGCGCTCGGAGGGACTAGTGTGGCGGCGGCTGCTGCTGCGGCTGCTGCCGCCGCCGCCGCCGCCGCGACCCCTGTGAAGGAGTCGAGCCTCTGCCGCTTGGGCCTCTCCACCACCAGGTTGGCCAACAGCGGCGGCGGCTTGATGGGCCGGAGGTTCCTCTTGCGGGCGCTGGCGCCGCATTCCAGGCAGGAGATGTTGATCTTGGGCTCGCCCAGCCGCTGCCCGATGCAGGCGGTGCAGAAGTTGTGCCCGCAGGGAAGGCACACAGGATCCGGGCAGTAGACGCGGCACAAGGAGCACCAGGTCTCGCTCGGGTAACGCGGGCCGGCGGGGATCTCGGCGGGCGTCGTGCCGGGCGGCGGGGAGTCGGGCGGCGAAGGAGGCGAGAGCAGGCATGGCGGGCCAGGCTGTTGTAGCAGCGGCGGCGGGATCGGGCCTCCCATACCCAGGCCCGCGTGCTGCGAGCTTCGCAGGCGGCTCCGGAGGAGCCTCTGCTGCAAGAGCTGCTCCGCCGTCATCCCTCCCAGACCTGCGCTCATGATGCCCGCTTGCCTGCCTGCCGGCCGACTGACCGACCGCGCACGATGCCGCTCTCTTTCGCCCGAGACGGCGCGAGGCACCTTCCGGCGGGGGACCCGATTGGCCGAGCTGCCTCGCGGAAGGGGCGCGGCCGAAGCGACGTCGAGGTGGTGAGACGGCAACGGGAGACGTTGGTGCGGTAACGCTTCGCGCGCCGGAAGGGACGTCGGCAGGAGAGGAAGTCCCTTCTTCTCTATGGAAATTCTCAAGTCATCCAAGTTTTCCAAAAGGTGTTTTTTTTTTCAGGAGGTAACGACTTTTTTTGGTTTTTTTCTTTGAAGACGTTTCGCTTCTTATCCAAGAAGCTTCTTCAGCTGGGACTGGATGGTGGGGAAATGGAAGGATTTTTATGCTCCTTGCAGACACCTGGACATTTGCCTCCTTTTATTTTTTTTAATGTTTTATTTATTTCGTCAAGCATGTATTAGATAACATATATAAGTATAAAAGTGATTTTGGATACATGAAATGGATACGAATAAAAAGAAGCATTAGGACAGGGATGGTAGGTATGTTTGGTGCGCTTATGCACTCTCCTTACAGAGAGTTGTTGAGGCATTTGGAGGTTTATTTGTGTCCTCACAGTCACCCGAGTAGTGCAAATGTTCCTGTAGTCTCCAATTGTTTTCTCTGGAAATGCGTTCATACTTTTAGCCTTGCACTGTAGGATAAATATCCTTCGAATGGCATGGGAGTATGAGCGGATTTCCAGAGAAAACAATTGCAGACTACAGGAACATTTGCACTACATTTGTCATTATTATCCATCTAGCCACTTCCAGGGGTGATTCAGTTCTCTCCTGAGGCCAATCCAAAAGACATGGTCTCTTGTGAACATCCTCATAAAAGCCTTTAAAAGAAAAACAAAAATTGTGCATGTTGGAACCTTGCACTGCTAGATCCCCAGCTGAAGTTCTAAACTTACACAAAAGCTGAAGAGACTATAAAGTTATCTTTTGAACAGTAATTAACCCTAATAAAACATACCTAGTAGTTCTTAAGCGAGCGGCAAAATGGTAGACGCTAGTTAACTTTTTTAAAGTTAAATTTTAAACCTTTTGTAGAAGGGGAAACACTGATTTTCCTAGAATGGATCTTGGCAATGTCTACAGTTTTGCTGTTGGCTCCTCTGCTTCTGAAATTCACATTTGGGAATAGTTATCAGATGTTTCCAAGCTTCTAAACAGGAAAAAATGAAAGAAGCAGATGACAGTGACGTTTATTTCAATGATTTTCTTAGATTTTTAATTTTCTGCTTTTACAACTGGTAAGTTTTGGAACCTGGAGAAGATTCAAAGGATTTTGCAGCTTTTATTCATTAAGGCATCTAAGGAGATTTTTTTTAGTACTAATAGAAGAAAAACCTTTAACTTTTTCATGTTGTAGAAGAGCAGGCACCATCAATGAAACAACAATACTTCTATGGTGTCAAGTTACATTACTCACCATTTCCTCCTTTGTAATTTTTGAAAGAGAGCCCTGCAGCTTTTTCTCCTCATCCATATTCGACATTCCTGGATTTGTATGATCTGGAATTGGAAATGGGCCTATCACAAGAAGGAATGCCAAGATCCTTACAGAAGTTGGGAAATTACTGCTATTTTCAAAGAATCGCTTTTTATATGTAGGATACAGCCTCTTAAAAAGTGGGGACTAGATAGTAATTTGTCATAGAAAGTTCTTTATTGCCATCAATAAACTGGGCAACTTTTTTAGTAGAAGAGCAAAAAAATCCAACATTCTGTTATTTACTTCATGTCAAAAGGGTTGAATTCAATTGAGAATCCAAATTGATCTTGGCTAATCTTAAAAAAACCTTTCCCAAGTCATAATTTCAGCAGAAAATTTTATAGTGGAGATCCAGGCAGCAGATGATAGCTCCTATGTAATTTTTCTCTAAACACCAACACCTTTTCATTCATTTATTTTTATTCAATTCAGTGATTTGCCCACTATTTCCCATGGGCGTTGGGGAGTCTTGGCCTGTGCGCTGGGAAGCCCGTTTGGGCAAGGACCCAAGGGGTTCCTTCCTTCCCCACTAGGAAAGACCGGATTCCCAAGAAGAAAGGAAAAGATGCCTGTCGGGTCTATTGCAACACCGAGAAGAAAACAATATTTTTACACATGTGTACAGTAGAGGAAAAAATGTATTGGTTTATAAGATTTTTCATACACCATCACCACCAAACCAACTCTGCAGAAACAAAGGAGAATATTTAGAGAACTGCAGTGCATTGCATCCAAAGTAGCTCGGACAAAGTGGTGGCACACTTTCATAAAATAATCGCCCCTCACCACAAACACAAGTTCTGATGTGCTGCCTCATTGTGGCTGGAGTAGGAAGTGTTCCGGGGAGTGATGAGTGAAGAACTTAGGAGTATATGCTAAGAGTTTTTATCCTCAGTAAGGTCACTCAAGGTGTGAAGCTCATCCAAGCTACCCAGCTGAGCAAGCAGGTGGCTAATATAACTGGGCAGCAGCGCACAGATGACCATTCTCAGCGACAGTGACCAAACCATCAATTCATGCAGTGTGAGAGAAGGCTATGGTAAACAATTTCTTTACCAAGAAAGCCATATAGATAGAAAATATTGTCATGGAAAATCTGTGTGGTCATTAGCATATGAAAATGAGCAGATGGCACATAAGCAATATAATATAGGTATATATATCAACTGCCATTTTACCTAAAATCCCTCTTTTCCCAATAGTCCTTTAAAACAAAGGTTTTCTTTTTTGTTGCCTATATAAATGTGTATTGAAAGTCAAGAATTGGTGAAAAATTCACAAAGGAAGTCTTGCTTCGCCACAGAAAAGACATTTGTAGTTTATTCCTCCAAATTTGTCACAAACACCAAATCTCCTAATACAGGAGTACAAGTATTGAAGCACCTGCTTTTTAATTTTAATTTTATTTTAACATATATGTAAAAAGGACAATCAGAAAACAAAAGCAATGAAAAAAGAGATTTACAAGCTGTGTGAAACTGCACAAGAAATTTCAAATTAGATTGGTACTAACATATATAAAGATCTTATATTGATGCTAACTTAATAAAATCAAATCAGTAATTAGCAGAGGCAACCGTTATAAAAAGAGTCATCAATCAGAATAAACATGTTGAGAGGAGGAGCCAAAGTCGCGAAGAGACAACGTGCTATCTCAATGCTCTGACATCGCCGTTGATACTTTTGCCACTGGGTGGTCCAAATGGACCTAAACCGTCCCGCAGAGATGGTGAACGGGAAGAATACGTCCTGCTGATTTCAGGGACATCGCAAAGTCCTTGATCAATCTAGGAGAAATTCTTCTAGCTGGTGACAAAATCACAGCCCCTAGGCTGATGAATTTGGGGTGGCTCCGAAACAGAAGGATACAGAAAGAGAAAGTGTTTTCAGCTGGTGAGGAATTTTTACAGTTTTAAAAGAGACTGCCTATAAAAAACTTAAAAGTTAATTTAAATTTGGGAACAGAAGAAATAAGCGTCGGAATTAAGCTTTGAATGGTTTTGGACAGTGGGTCATCTTACTTTTTAAATGCTATTTTCATGGCTGGAATTTATGCAAGTCTTTTAAAACAAATGGTTTAAGTTTTCTTCTATCTTTTATTCATTATTATTTTTTGCAACCTATGGACTAAAATTCTCCTTCATTACTGCATGTGTTTTTTCCCTTTTTCTTCTCTGTTTCATTCAAGAATTTGACTTTTTTTAAAAAAA